ATCAGATACTTTTGCAAAAGCATAAAAGATTGCTTACTTACTGATAATATTTGTGAAAGCATATATCACAAAATATATGAAACTTATGATATCGAAACTTATGCAGTTCGGATCACCATTGTAGTAAATGGTTTCATTGGATCACGTGACGTTTCAGCCTCAATTACTTTCGCTGCTGACAGGAGGAGCGAAACACATGGAATAGAAACGAAGTCGTGATACCGGTAGAGCCGGATCATGGAAAACTGAGTACCTAGACCGCAAGGTGATTAATAACAGAACGAAATGATCTCATGACAGGATTGGAAGGAAGAGAATTGTACGATAAAACCAATGAGGTGCCACCTCAACTTCGAAGACCGCAGATTTTGCGCTTTTGGTAAACAAGATGCTAATACCTACCATCATTTATTAGGCGTCGATAAACTCATCGTTGGTAAACACATGTTTTTACAGGGTAGAGGAATACAGTTGGAACAAACATATGTTCGTTTTAATCGACAAACCCACCAATGCCAGAAAGCGTGCTCCTCTTGCTAATGTTCGATCCGCTTTCTTCCAAAGTACGGAAGAAGTTTGCAGAAAATTAATTATTTATATTCTCTAAGTAATGCCCTTTAATGGTAATCGGGATAAATAATTTCCCAGAATCCTCAAGGCAAATCAGTCTACAAAACAGCATTGTGATTACGCACATTGGGGGAAATGATTAAAAGTTGCCCTTTATTTGTTCCAAACAGTCACGTTAAAAAAGAATTTAAGGAAGCAAAACAAGTTTTTCAGAACTTAGTTTTCAAAATCTGAAGTCGTCTATTGGGTAAATTATAATATCTGGAGATCTAATCGTTGCCTACTGAATTATTTCAATTGAACTATCTGAAGTTCAACGGAACGGTAACGTTACTTTCCAAACAGTCAGTTGTCAAACGTTCATCTGCTTCGTGAGGTGAAATAGAATGTGGTTAACCAAAGGACGTTTCGTCTACGTTCAGCGAATACATTTGTTTAGCTCGAGGTTTTAAGAAGCACACATGGACGTCGCTAAATGAAGTCCATTAAGTCAGATGGGCCACATCCATCACCATTCGAGAAAAATCACAAACTCCACATCTAAATTATTAAACTCGCCAAGCGAAATATTGTAGCTAAAAGTATGGCTACGATCATGTCATGAGACTGAAAACATTTCAGATTCGATACCCATCTTGATGATATGAGGAAACTGATCGAAGTAAAAAGTGAGGTCCAATCAAATTGCTTAAAGCTGAGCAAACCGTATGAAATAGCCCATAGTGCAGACCACTCTATGAACAGAGCATGAGGTTTATGAAATTTTATTGAATTAATGCTCTGAGTCGCTCTTGCCTTCGAATAAATGGCATAAAACTCTAACTGGAAACAAATCGATTCTTATACCGAATTCATCAGCGATATCAGTAAAAAAAGTACTCGTCTCGGTACGTTTTTGCTCACCTTCGTTGTCTTGCTTGTTGCATTATGAAAAAGAGATATCAGGAAGTAATTAGAAATAAATTTTATACGTTTCGCCATTTATCGTGTATGAACAATAGCGTTCATTGATTGGATTTGGGGGAGCAATTTTACAGCTGAAAGGCGGAAAGGCGCAGAATGCGCATATAGTCATATTCGTTGCATAACTTGCAGTTAATTTGGTTATCGATATGAGTCGCCATTAGTGATACAAATGACAATGCTTGCTTAGCACGTTACTTTGCAAGTAGCAGTACGTGTAGAACGTCACTACTTTATTAAAAATAATCTGAATGGAAATCTAATCCACACTTGCAAACTGAAGACTCAAACGATTCGCTTAGTAAATACGACAATAGATAACGAAACTTATTCCAACCGCTGAGGATTACCATGTTCAAATTGTGGTCAAGCGATATTTTTGATGTGAAGAAATTCTTCTGCCTCTGCAACTCGCAGAAACCCTGGCAGAACTCGCAAAAAACGCTGTAGATCGAAGACGTTCGCTACCTCGACCATAACGATGGTGAGTTATTGAGTTATTGAACACTTCCGGTGATGCAGAGCGTTTATCGTGGAGTTCCCTGCCGTAGAATGCCAAAACACAGCT